GATGTATGTATATTGTATAACAAAACAGATGTAAGAATAAACCATATGTATGTATATAGTATAACTGAACGATATTCAGAAACCAGATGTATAAATAATCTGATAATACTCTTATGAACTACTATCACAATAAAGCTTGCAACTGGGAACCGATTCATAAACATTAGATAAAGATCGAAACCATGAAATATTACCACATCATTTCCATGAGATTGCTTCTTAAACCGATTGATGTTAAGTATCTGCAACCACAACACAAACCAAAAACCCAAAAATAAAATTTTGTGTTCATCATGATTCCAAAATCCATTAAACCAACTTAAGACATTTTCATTAAAATTCCCCAAATCAAAAACCAACAACATTCAAAGAGTAAACAAATCACAATTCCAGAATCTAAAATCTGTCACAAATCAAAACATTCATAAACAGATCCACCGAACACGAAGCGATCGATACATGTAAACCAATACAGAAACGTGTTCCAATCACCTGGATCTCAACAGAGGGATTTTGGTTGCTGAATTTGCCTGCGAAAGACGCGATTGAGCAAAGAAGCCTAACCCAAAATGAAAACAAATCGAATTCGTCAAATCCGACTCCATCACGAAAACAAAACAGCATCAGCTCAAATCACGAAGATCTGCGACAATACCTCAATCAGAAATCATATATCCATTAACATAGATGCAAACCCATTAACACCAATCAATCGCAAAAGAGGAAAAAGAGCGAACCTTTATAATATTCTCAATCGCAAAATCGCTCAACCCAATCGAAGAAGATGTGTTGGTTGCTTATCTCCATAGAGCGCAAAATCGCAAAACACAATCGAATTCAAAGCTAAGATCTCGAGAGAGAGAGATTGTGAAAGAGAAAAGTTTCAGAAGAGCCGCCATCGATCTTCTCTACACGAAGAAGAAGAAAAGTTGCAGGCGGCCTTTTATTTTTTTTGACTGAATATTTACAATTTTACCATTAATGAAACTGGGTCAAAGGACCGGGTCGCGCGCGGGTCCGCGTCCCTCAGTCGGATCCAGTCCAAAAAATGTCCAAACTTGATCTGATAATTACTGAAATTGCCACTGAAAATGTCCAAAATTACCCTTTTTAATTGGATCTATTTAGTTTAAAAGTAATGGCAATTTCAGTAATATTTGAATGAATTTTAGACATTTTGCTAAATGTACTTCTGTTTTAATATTATAGAGATATATATGGATTCTAAAAAGTCGTCACAAATCTATCCTAAAGAGCCATTACCAAAGGATTTCCGACGAAAAGAGTCCTTACTGATACAACGATTTTTGCTGTCAAAAATCCGGTGTAGTGTATATATATTGTTATTGTGATCTTAATCTTAATTCTCAAGAGCTGGATTTCACTTCGTCATACCAGATTAAGGACCCGCATGATTTAGTACTATAAATTTAATTTGAATGTGCATGATTGTAAAATTTTAGTTGAGGTTATACAGGCATGGGTTCATATTATCGGACTTTACGGGTACATTATCATTAAATTGTAATGTCTCTATATATAGGCCAAGACGCAGATCGAATATCCGAAAAAATGAAGTATTTTTTATTCGATTTATTTTTTACGAATATCTAATTTTCCGATTTGTTTTGCTTCGAAAAATTTCGGATATCCGGAATGACGGATATCCAGATTTTTT